ACTCACCCAACAGCCGAATATACATTCTGTTCAAGTGCTCATGGAACAGACACCGAGATTGATCATATTTTGGGCCATAAAATAAACCTTAACAAATTTAAAAGTGAAATTTCTGACCACAGTGGAATCAAACTGGAAATCAATAACAGAAAGATAATAGAAAACTCTCCAAAGACTTGGAAACTCAACAACACAATTCTAAATGATCCATAAGTCAAAGAGGAATTCTTAAGGAGATTAAAAAAATATAACAAAATGAAAATGAAAATACAATATATCAAAATTTATGGGACACAGATAAAGAAATGCTAAGAGGGAAATTTGTAACACTAAATGCATATATTATAAAAGAGAAAATTCTCAAATAAGTCATCTCAGCTCTTACCTCAAGAACCTAGAAAAGGAACAAAATAAACCCAACGCAAGCATGAGGAAGGGAATGATAAAGGTAAGAACAGAAATCAATATAACTGAAACAAAAAAAAAACCAGAAAAAAGCCAATGAAACAAAGAGCTGGTTCTTTGAAAATAATCAATGAACTTGACAAGTAAGACTGACAAAGGAAAAGAGAGAGAAGACACAAATTACCAATAACAGAAACAAAACAACAAATATTGCTACAGATCCTGCAGACATCAAAAGGATAGCAAGGGAATACTACAACCAACTCTATACACATAAATTTGATATATCAGATTAAATGAACCACTTCCTCAAAAAACGGAAACTACCATAATTCATTCAAATGAAACAGAAAATTTGAAAAGCCCTGTAATATTAAGGAAATTCAATTGAAGACATTATATAGCTATTGTAATCAAGACTATGTGGTATTAGTGGAGGGACAAACACATAGATCAATGGGACAGAATACAGAACCCAGAAATAGTCTCACACAAATATGCTCAACTGATTTTCGACAAAGGTGCAAAAGCAACTCAGTAGAGAAAACAGTTTTTTCAACATAATGTTCTGGAGCAATCCACAGGCCAAAAAATAAAAATAAAAAAGAGCCTTGATCTAAGTGATCTAAGTCTCACATGTTATACAAAAATTAACTCAAAATGGATCATGAACTTATATGTAAAGCATAAAGCTATAAGTCTTTTAGAAAAAAATAGAAGGAAATCTTCAGGATCAACTGAACTTTATCAAACTTAAAAACTTTTGTTTGGCAAAAGACCCTGTTTAGAGAATGAAAAGACAAGCAATAGTCTGGGAAAGGATTTCTGCAAACTGCATATCTGACAAAGAACTAGTATTTAAAATATATAAAGAACTCTCAAAGAAAACCAAAAAAAGGGAAAACAAAAAATCCAATTAGAAAATAAGCAAAAAACATGAACAGACATCTCACTGAAGAGGCTACACAGATGATAAGAACATGAAATAATGTTTAATATCATTAGCTGTTAGAGAAATGCAAATTAAAACCACCATGAGATATCACTATACACTTATCAGAGTGGCTATAATAAAAAATAGTGACAACACTAAATGCTGGCAAGGATGAAGAGAAACTGGATCACTCACATATTGCTGGGTGGGATATAAAATGTTTCAGCCATTCTGGAAAACAATGTCAGTTTCTAATAAAACTAAGCATGCAACTACCACATGACTTGGTGACTGTACTCCTGGGCCTTTATCCCAGAGAAATGAAGACTTATGTTTCCACAGAAACCTATACATGAATGTTTATAGCAGCTTTATTTATAATAGCCAAAAACTGGAAACAACTCAGATATCTTTCAATGGGTGAATGATTAAACAAACTGTGGTATATTCATATCATGGAATACAATTCACCAATAAAAAGGAACAAACCATTGATTATGCAACAACTTGGATGAATCTCCAGAGAATTATGCTGAGTAAAAAGCCAATCACAAAAGGTTACTTTATGGACTGAATATTTCTGTCCTCCCCAAATTGTTAAAGCCCTAGTCCCCAACATGATGGTATTAGAAGGTAGGGCTTTGGGGAGGTAACTAGGTTTAGATAAGGTCAGGAGGGTGGAGCCCCCTTAATGGGATCAGTGATCTTATCAAAAGAAGAAAAGATATCAGCACTTTCTCTCTGTGCCATGGGAGGATACAGCAAGAAGGTAGCCTTCTGCAAGCTAGGAAGAGAGCCCTCACCAAGAAATGGATCTGCTGGCACCTTGATCCCAGAATTCCTAGCCTCCAGAACTGTGAGAAACAAATGTCTGTTGTTTAAGCTACCAAGTCTATGGTATTTTGTTATAAGAGCCTGGACTGACTAAAACAGTTATATACTGTATTGTTCCATCTATATAACATATTTAAAATGAGAAAATTATAGAAATGGAGGACATGTTAGTGATAGAGATTAGAAAGGGATTAGGGCAGGAGGGAAGTGGATGTGGCTATAAAAAGGCAACAGGAGGGATCCTTATGATAGAGATGGATCTTGACTATCATTATCAATATTCCTGTTTGTGATACTGAATTATAGTTTTACAAGCTGGTACCACTGGGGGAAACCAGGTAAAGGGTACGTAGGATTTCTCTTACAACTCCATGTGAACCTACAATTATCTCAAAATAAAAAGTTTAATAAGAAAAACAATTTTACACATACATATTTGTCTGAAACTTACTTTATAAACAACTATACACACACTATATGCATACACATATAAAGAGAAAATAAGATAAAGGAAGTGTTGCAAAATGCTAACAACTGATGATTCTCAGTGTACTAGTCTTTCAACTTTTCTGTAAGTTTAAAAATTTTCAAAATAAAACATTGAGGGAAAAGGAATAGTCTCTAGTTTCTTCACTGATTTCTTTGCTTTCCTATTTAAAATGTTCCATATCAAGATTAGTCCTATCTGGCTGAGCTCCGAGCTTTCATAAGCACTGGCATCTTAGAGAAAAAGACAGCAAACCATGTAGCAGTGGCCTTTCAGGTCTGATCTAAAGGGGATCAAAAAATATCCTAAATAACTGTAGCTAGAGCATGTTATATGGTAAAACGTAATCACAAGTTTCACTATGGAAAAACAGTGTTGTTATCACTCTGCTCAGCATATTTGGAAAGCAAACAGTTTAATGCCTGTCAATATGAAGGAAATTTGGTTTTTGCTTTTCTTTTTAAAGCATGAATTTGTTTACTTTTCTCAAGAAAAAGAACACCTGAGTGACACTACTCCACCATGAGGCAACTATTAGAACTACTTCAGGCTGTTCTGGGAAATCCAACAGAGGTGTGCCCATAAGGGTACTTCAAGGAGTTCATGGAAAGATTCGTATTATTTTTAATTCTATTTTTTCCACAAACGTTTTGAAGTACACTTGTATTTATATTATAGTCTGGTGGTCAAGAGCACTGGCTCTGGAGTCACAAAGATTTGGGTTCGAACCACTATCTAGCTATAAGAACTGTGTAGGTCTCAGTGGAAAATGGTGATGATGATAGGATTTGTGTGGGCTTTTTGTGAAGATTTAATGGTACAATGAATGTAAAGGGCTTAGCATAAAATAAGAGCTCAATATATTCTGCCATTATTATTAAGCATTTAAAATTACTTCATTACAGCAAAGCAACCAAAACACATTTTACAAAAATGATTATTCATAAAATTATTTTAAAGTGAACACTTACTTCACATTGTTATAGAATCAAATAGGATCATGTAATAAAAGTCATAAAATTATAACTTTATAACATTATAAAAATTATACAAATTAGGAATTTTGCCTAGAGACAGCATGATATAGTATAAAGAACACGATATTTAAACTCAAAAGACTCAGAGTTAAGTCCTGACCATTTTCTGGCTATGTGATCTCAGGATACTACTGAAACTCCCTCAGCTCTTTCATTTTCAAAACTGAGATGATCCCTTGTGTTACAGGATGGTAGGGATTAACACAGAAAATCTACAAGAATATTTCATAAAGTACTATGTGACATCAAAAAATACAAGTTTCACATTTCTTGCATAAATGTCATTTATTATAATTAAACCTGTCAAATTTGACAGAAAATTTCTGAAGATAATATAAATGGTTAAGAAAAATTAATAAAGGATTTTTAAAAATGGGGCCACTAAAGCTAAAATTTCTAATATGTCTTTATATAAAAGTCAAATGCATAAATTCAAAATATTTCCCTAAAGACTTCTTCTAAATTTCAGGTAGCCTTATATTTACAGTTCTGAATCTTTCTAATGTTTTTTTCCTATACAACCAAGAGAAATGTGTTACTTATGAAAGTTGGGTCAAAAGTCCTCTAATATGTTTTAACAAAGACATTCTTGAGTATAGGTAACAGGCATGGTTGGTTACTCTTCCCTTCCCTATAAATCTGTGCCTCCTCTGGCCTTAGAAATGTGAGTACCAGTCGCTATACTACCTGGCTGTCTCATACTTTTCTGAAGTCTCATATTTTTAAGTCTTAATGCTTAAGTCTCATATCTATTCTGTCTTCAAGTCCTAGTGAGTATTCCTTCTCAATGTCCATTTTTCTCTATCCCTACTGTCATTATCATAGTTTAGGCTCTCATTACTTTCTGCCTGTAGTAACTTCCTTACCTCCAATCTCTCTGCTCTTACACATCCTATTCATCATGGCTATATTAAATATCCCGAAATTCTGCTTTTGCTGTGTCATTTTCTATTCAAAGACTTACTTTCCCAAAAGCACTAAATCCCCAGCCTGGAGTAAAAGCAGAATGTGGAAGCTGAATAATCAGTCACTGTAAAATCTATCGGTAGCCTGTACTGCCATAGGCAGATGACATACCACCACTGAAGCCTAGACACAGGAAGAAGATTAACATTAAGTTCACTCAGATCTATGTTCCCTCAAAATGGAGATATAGGTCACAAAGCTAACAGAGGCTCAAATTAAAGGAGAGGCAAAGATGTCAGACACTATGTTTATTTATTTAAAATGCACAAGCAATTAGAATTGATACCTGAAACAAACAATATGGGAAAATGTTTCATAAAAATGGGAAAAAACCTACCTGGTAAAGGCAGGCTGCTGTTCCAAGGAAAAATGCAATGATGTAATTAAAATCCTCACCATCACTCTGTAAAAACAAAGTAAGAGATTACTTTTTTTTCCTGGTGGAATCCCATTTCCAAAAACAATTCACTGGGATAGGATACAACAACATTTATGAAAAATGCAATGATGTAATTAAAATCCTCACCATCACTCTGTAAAAACAAAGTAAGAGATTTCTTTTTTTTCCTGGTGGAATCCCATTTCCAAAAACAATTCACTGGGATAGGATACAACAACATTTACGTATGAACAGTCAAAACTGTCATAAAGTGGTATATAAAAATTCTCAAAATTTCTAAAATGGAAACATAAAATATATCATAAGACCTAAAGAATGTGAGGTAGAGGAATAGTACAAGTGTTTCTCTGTGTTTGGCTCCCCCAACCATGTCGTTTCACCCAAGAGAAGAGGAAAACCACTGGAAATGTTCCCACATAATGTAAAAAGCCTATCTTCTTCCTACTAAAGAAAGCACATAAAGACTCATAACATCCAGCGGCTGACAAAGTTACTCCTGCTCACTAAGGTCACTACTTGACTCAAATAAATATTGACAAACTTTACAATAAAGCAATTTGACAAGATTTAAAAAAAACCAAACTGTGAAAACTGAAAAGCTACTGTCCACTAGAGTGTGCTAAACCCCAATGAGAAAAATCAGGACTAGTCTGTCATGCATGTTATGCTACAAAAACTGCCACCCAGAGGAAAATCAGAGATAGATCGTGCATAGAATATTTCTTGAAAAGAAAACTACTGGAGACAGGTAACATTACCCACGCTTTCCTATTTCTTCTGGGTTCCTCTTAAATATCTACATTTATCAACTTCTTTCAATGTTTTTATAAAGTCCAGGCAGGAGCACTATACTTTTTTCTTTCAGGCAGGAATACTGAATTTGGCCCTTTTCTTATTTTAGAAAAGATATCTTTACACAATGAAAACTTCCACAAGACATGGGAGTGTCTCTCATGACCACGTCTCCATAAAACAGTATAAAGAGAAAATTCCTTTTGCACTGTAAGTTCCTTGGGCAACTGACTGTAAGGCAGGAGAGTGGCTTATCCTATTGAGGCAATCTTAAAATAGAAACCATTAATCTGTCTGGGATGCTTAGGCTAGTTGTACCGCAGAACCAGGGAAGGTCAACATGAAACCTTTCCACTTTAATAATTCTAAAACTTTAAATAAGTTCTGCTTATTATGTTTCTTTAGTCCTTTATTTTTTAAATGACTTTTTTTTATTATAAAAGTTCATGTTCATTGTAGAGAATTTGGAAAATATACATTATACAAATAAGAAATTCATATAGTCCATAAATACCACAACTCTCAAAGAATTACTGCTAACCCTTTCATGGATTTCTTTATGGTCTTTTCTCTATGTGTATGAACAGTTTAGAAAAATGATTTCCAAAATGCTTATGACTGTCAAAAAAAAAAAAAGAAAAATAGAATGATACTTTTATATACTGCTTTTCAGTACTTCACATTACATTATAAACACGTTCCCAAAATAGTAAATATTCTTCAACCACAGTATTTATTGGTTTTTTTGTTGTTGTTGTTGTTCTGTTTTTGCTACCCACAGAATTTGTAATGATTAAATAACCTTTCATTGAGAGCATATACCATAATTTAATTATTATCCTACAACTGAAAATTACTTCTTCCTCTTAATTTACACTATCACTTTATAACTCTATATAATTAATTTATAAATTGCCTTTGGAACACTTAACATGTTTTGGAGTCATTCAGATCTGGGTTCAAATCTTTACTTATTAACTCTATAATCTTGGACCATTTATTTAATTTCCTCTTTTGAAAAATAAAAATTGTAGAGAGTAAATAACATTTACAAATACAAAGAAAAGCAACTGGTACACAGTAAGTACTCAAAAACATTCAGTAACTTCTCTTTCCCTGAGGTTACCGTTTGTATCATTTGTCTTATAATCAGATTGCCTTTCGGTATTGTTTAAAACTCTAGTGTATTGGCCTTATCTTCTCATCTTTCTTGAAGGCAGAAAATAAAATACTTATATGAAACTATGCACATTATAGGAACTCAACAATTGCATGCTGAATTGAGTTGAGCTTTGAAAAATCTTTAATTCTACTTGACAAAGAAAAGATTGTCTATGAACATATTCTCATTCAATAAATATTCATTAAGCACTTATAAGCCAGATACTGTGTTACTAGACCTAGAACAGAAAACAAGTCCATACCAACTCAAGAAGCTCACTCTCTAATTAAGAAGGATACATAAATCAACAAATCCTACCCAAAACGATGACTGATGGAATATGTGTGTGTACAGGATACTAAGCAAACCCATTGGAGAATCATCTAATTCTGTCTGGAGAAAAAGAGTCAGGGAATGTTTCGCAGACAAAGTAAAGCTTAACCTGGGTCTTGAAGGCCAGAGGTAGACAAGGTAGACAGGTGTAAAGTGAATTTTAGGCAAAGGGAGTAGCATGTGCTCTCAAGGAAGGAAGAGGCCAGGATGACTCCAAGGTTTCTTATTTAGGCAACATTTGAATGATACTGTTCACTAAGTTGGGAATATAGGAGGAAAAGTAGATATGAGAACAGAAAATATTAAGTTCATTTTGGACATGCTATTTTAGAATTGCTAGTGGGACATCCAAATAATAATATTTAGTATATATTTAAGTGTGCTTCAGGAAAGAGTTTGACCTGGAGATCTAGTTTGGTGTCTGTCATGCATGTTATGCTACAAAAACTGCCACCCAGAGGAAAATCAGAGATAGATCGTGCATAGAATATTTCTTGAAAAGAAAACTACTGGAGACAGGTAACATTACCCACGCTTTCCTATTTCTTCTGGGTTCAAAGAATAATTACACAAGTAAATATATAAATTACATACACACTAGCATATTCACACACTCTCTAGAAGAAAACACCAGTGGTTGACTCTGGGGAGGAGAAATGGAAAGAAAATTACTTTTTTGTGAAAGTTATATATCAACTTTTGTAGGCTTTATAATTTACCATCTGTGTATTTTACTGTGTACACATGTGTGTGTTTGCATGTGTATGTACATATGTACATCTATCAACTTTTTTAAAAAGCCATTATGAAAGTGTCAAAGGAGAAGATGTAGAGTTAGGATTACGTAAGCCAAGGACAGGATACTGGAGAACGCCACTACTGAAAAGACAGATGGAGGAATAGGAATAAGAAAAGAACAAACACAAGAAGAAAAAAACAGAAAATGGTTTCATGGAATTGTAATGGATTGTCAAACAAACATAATACATCAAAGTATTAACAGTAATTTATTTTATTTGCTTCTAAGTTTTCTAAAATAAACATTATTTTTTTGAAATTAAAGAGTTTAGTTTAAAAAGGAAGAACTGAATGCTAGATGAGGCAGAGAGGGCAATGTAAGGTAAGGACTAAAGAGTAGCTGCAGTATTTGTCAATCAGAAGGATACTGAAAGAATTATGAGGGCAGAAAAGAGATCACAGTAGACTAAGAAAATAGAGGGTCAGGGAACAGAGACAACAAACAGTCCACTCTTTCAAAAAATCAGAAGGGAACATATGTCACAAGGCTTTTGGGAAGTTTTTGGGGGGATTGCTTTTTTGTTTGTTTTTGATGGCAGGGCTGAGAGAAAAGAGCCAGTAGAGAGGAAGCAGATGAAAAGTAGGTGAGGGAATAGATAGAGGTTGGGGGAAGGTGGGCAGAGGTTGGGCAGGGACAGAAGTGGGACTGGACAGAGGTGGTGGGGAAGACAGAGGCAGGGTATGGGGGTTGGCAGAGGAGGGGAAGGATGGGGCAGAGGTAAGAAGTCCAAATAAAAAAATTTTAAATGTCACTATTCACCTTTGGGGGGTGCTAGGGTACCAATGTATTGCTTTGAAAACTAACAAATTAAGGGGAAGAATATTTTTAAAGGTGAGGAAGAAGGTAAACAGAGGCCTTATCCAGTAGCCACACAATGTATTAAGATGATACTATTAAAATGTTTGTAATAATTAGGAAATATTCACTTTTTAATATTAAGTGAGGAGACAAAATAATAAAATGAATATGACATGTACACATGCATGTATGCGTATATATAAATATATTAAATACATATATCTCTCTCGCTCTCAAAGAAAATTTGGGGATGATTTTTATTTTTTTCTTTATACATTTCCCCCTAATTCTTTAACAATTAGTATAGAATCAGGAAAAATACTTTGACTTCTTTTGAAAGAAAGCAAACACTGCATCTTAGCATAGATACCATGCCACTAAATAAATCAAAAACTTCTGGTGAGCTTTAACAGGTGTGTAATTTCTTTAAAAGGTATTAAGTCTATAGGAAATAAAGAGGACAAGGAATAAAAGCAAGATGATTACTTCTGCTTTGTAGTTGCCATTACAAACAATTTTAAAATCAAAAAACCTTAGAGCATTAGTGCTGAAGTGATCCTTGAGCTTATGTAGTCTAAAACTTTCATCTTGCAGAATAGGAAAATGAGGTCCAAGATGGTAAAGTAACCCAGCTAAGGTCACAAAGTTAGTCACTGGCAGATTACTTTGAGTAATATATAGGTATTAATTTACACTCAGTAAATACACTACATATTTTCAGCTAGATCTAAAATGATGATCCCCAAATAAATCTTTTGCTCTTAAAAAAAAAGTTCTAGAGAAATGTTGAGGCCACTTAATTTGAGTACTGCCCTACCCCTTCTCTATCACCACCATGACTTGAATAATACTCCACTGGAAGTAACTTCAAAGTAGATAAAAGTTTAAGTCCTGTGTCCTGGGATTTGCACTCAAGCCTACACAGCAGATCACCTCAGAAAGATTTTCTTTTTCTGACCAAAAATGATCTACAGTGACTTAGAGATTATTCCTAACACAAAATACGACAAACCAGAGAGAAGGCTAAGAGTATCTCTTAAGTCCAATGGCTTTAGTAAAAATTTAAAAAAACCTTTTATCCAATATGAGTTATGAACAATGTCCACATAGACTTTAGTG